ATTATGAACCTCTTCTCATTATGCCCTCATTCAAACCTCACCATTGACTCATCTTGTTATACTAATACCCATGTGTGCTTACCTCTAAACTCCCAGTTCTTGCATATAATACAACCTCAGATGTCTGTATTCTTTAATTTATTTAGAAAAGGGTGTTAAACATAGTTTCCAACTACTATGTGTATTTGTGTCTTTTTTCCTTTTAATTGTATCTATCATTTTTGCTTTGTGAGTTTCAATATCTGTTATTGGTTGCCTATGTATTTAGAATGGTATGTCTTCTTGATGAAACATTCCTTTTATTGCACTATCAGTTATCAAACGAAAACAACACCCAAACTCACTGCCATCAAGTAAATTCTACTCATAGCAACCCCTCCTTGGGTTTCTGAGGTGGTATCTCTATGAAAGTGGATTGCCCAGTCTTCCTTCTGAGGAGTGGCTGGTGGGTTTGAACTAGCAGTCAAATGCCTTAGGCACTATGCCACCAGAGCCCCCTTTGAATGGAGTGATTAATCTATTTACTTTTAATATAATTATTGATATATTTGGATTTAAGTCTGCCATCTTGCTATTTGTTTTCCATTTATCCCTTCTGTTTTGTTCATTTGTCTGTTTCTCTTTTGTTCCTTTCCTGCCAGTGTTTCAAATTAATAGAATATTTTTAAGCTTTCCATTTTATTTCACCATTGCTGCCTTAGATGTACCTCTTTTTATTATTGTTTAGTGTTTCTCAATGGGTAATGATATGCATCCTTAATCTACCAAAGTCCATTTAGAGTCAGTATTGTACCATATTATACTTCTCACTTGACATTTTACATTTCCTTCTTTCTATAGTTCATACTTGACACTTCCCATCTTACAATGTTTCTACTTTTGCTCTAAACCATAAGTGTCTTTTAAGGAAATGAAAAGGAGAAGAGAAAACATTGCTTTTAATTCCCACTTACGCAAAACATTTCTGGTACACTTCATTCTTTGTCATACATCTGAGTTTCTCTGTTGTCAATTTTCCTTCACCCTGAAGAATATCCCACAACATTCTGGTAGGGCTGTTCTTTGGATAACCAAATTTCCCCAATTTTGCTCATGTGAAATTTCATTCTTGTCTTCATTTTGTTCTTGTTTTTGAAGACTATTTTTGACATATAGAGAATTCTGTGGACAGGATTTTGTTTTTTCCTTTTGAATACTTTAAATACGTAATTCCTTTTGTCTTCTGACTTATTTTTCTTTTCTTTTTTCTGATGAATAATCAGCCATCTTTTGTATCATTCTTCTAACTGATCATATTTTTCTACAACTGATCATATTTTTCTACACAAATAATGCACACATTACATAAGTCTTGGCAAAACCTGCAACGCCCTCACATTTTAGCTTTCTACACATGCTATATGTGAAAAATATGGTATTTGTCTGGCTGCTTTCACCATTTTCTCTTTATGTTTGGTTTTCAGAATTTTGTGCTAAACATGCTCAATATATGATAGCTTAAGTGTGACTAATTATTTTTCACATTTATCTATCTTGTCTTGCACTGAGCTTCTTTAATCTATGTGCTTATAAAGTAATGTTTTTCACCATATTTGAGTAATGTTTGCCTTTTTTTTTTAAGTTTTTCTTCTCTCTTCATTCATACTCTTGTTGCTTCTTACTACTGAATTTATGTTTATATTGATTATATTGGCAACAGGTTTGTGAGGGTCTTAAAAAAAATCTTTTTCTCTCTCCCTTTTCTTCCAAGTGACTTTTTCATTTCCATTATTATTCTTTTAATTTCTAAAGTTTCTGTTTGGTCTCTGCTATAATTTCCAGTTCTCTGCTGACATTCCTTTTCAGTTCACTTATGAGACTATATTTGTTTTTTATTCTTTATCCATATTTTCCATAATGTTTTGAATATATTTACAGTAGCTTATTTAAAGTCCATCTGCTAAATCCAACATTGGAAGCATTTCAGAGTCAGTTTCTGTTGGCTTTTTTTTTTCCTCTTTTTTTTGCTAACAATCACGTTATCCTCTTTCTTTACATATCTTTTAAATTTTGATTGTATACTGGACCTTATGGATGATAATTATAAAGGCTTTGAATTTGTAATATTTCTCTGAAGCATGCTTATTTTTATTTTAGTAGGCAGTTCAATTGCTGGCTGATCACCTTGAACTTGTATAGGCTTGGTTTTATACTTTGTTAGTGTGGATCTTTCAAAAGCACAAGGTGTTTCATACGTCCCTGTAACTTGACACTGCACAATTCCAAACTTTGTCTGCTCTCCAGATCTTGTGAAGTCTTAGTTTTGGCCTTGTTCAGTTATGATCCTTATATCCTTTCTAGTCTCTTAACTGGATGCCTGAAGGTTAGCAAAGTGTTAGTTAAGGTCATGTCTCCACTCTGGCGGAGCAGGAACTCCAAATATCTCCAGCATTGTTCTTCTATATTTCTATTCTGTTTTTATCTGCATAGTAGGTGCTCCCTGATACGCCTCAGGTAGACTTGCCCTGTTTATATCCTAGCAAGCCTTCAACCAAGGGACTGATAGAGACTTCCATGTATACTTCTAGAGTTTCACTCTGGTTTCCTTCTCTGTGCATTCAGCTATTTCACATACCTGGATTCTGATACCTGCTTTAGCTCAGTGGGTAGACTATGATTTGCTTGAATTCCAGCTTGCTGTGGGAAGTTTTCCCCAGGCCAAGAGCCAGCACAATTTGTAGGACTCACTTTATAAATTTCCCTTTCTGCTCGTATACTAACTGTTCTCCAGTGCCCAAAGCAGTTGCCTCTTTTGTCCAATGTTATGGCTATTTCAATAGCAGTTTGGTTTTTTTTTTTTTTTTTTTCTTCTTTCCTAGCCAGAAGGCTAAATGCTATGTATTTATTTTGAATGTTTTTCTGGACACTTTGAATTTATATAGCTATTTTCATGGAGAACTATTAATTTTATAGGAATAGTCTTGTGATGATTTTTTTTCTTACCAAAAACTTTTTAATAGAGGATGAGATATTCTTAATTAAAAAAAATACCTTCTTTATATCTAATTTAAGCCTTCAACAGTGTATTCCCTGTTATTTTCTCTTATCTGTGTTAGTACAACTATCTACAACTGATCTTCAAAATTGAATTTCTCTGGTCTATTCTCTTCATTGGATCCAGGGTGATTTTTTTGCATAGTTTATCAATCACTTGTGCCCTCTCCATTTCAACTGAACTGCCCTGTCTACCCTGATCATAGCCCTTATCATTGATTATTTTTATTGATTTCTTTCTCTCTGCTGGATTGTACGTTCTTTGATGACAAGGACTATATTTTTCTTGCCCACTGTCTTGTCTCTAATACCTAGCTGTATTACTGCATGTAGTAGGAAATCAATAAATAAATGAATGAGCAGTATTTTGTGTTTAGTTACTTCCAGCAGTTATAAAAATTCAAAATGTAGATTTTTAGGTTGTTGTTATTGTTATGTGCCATTGAGTTGGCCTCAACTTATATGAAGGGCAGGCCTAATAATGATCCTGCATTTTCAAAGGATGCTTTTCTTTATTGTTTGTTTTTTGCTTTTAAGTAATTACAGATCATGAGACAAGTAAACTGACTAAAAACAGCAGCTCAGTTTTCAGCTCTATCAAACCAAACATACATGACATTATTAGAGCTATCAAATCAATCAGAATAGTTTGATTGGTTGCCCGTGAAGACGATGCACAATTCCTCACAATTCTTCGTCAGAACTTAGAACCATTTTAAATGCTTCTCTCCCCACCCCCATGTGTGTAAACTTGGGCTTTAGAATCTGGGACACTTATATTCATAGCCTTCTCCACAGCTAGCCCTTTTACCGTAAAAAACTAATTGCTATCTCGTTGTGTCAGTTTTAACGCAAAGTGACCCTATAGGGCAGAGTAGAACTGTCCCATAGGCTTTCCAAGGCAGTAATCTTTATGGAAGCAGACTGCCACATCTTTCTCCCGTGCTTCAGTCATAGATAAATTACCTTTCCTCTCTAACTTTCTACTTCCTCAGCAAAAAAATGGGATTATTGTAATGATTAAATGAGATAATATATGTAAATGAATGATCAAAATATCTGGTGTAAAGTAAGCTCTCAATAAATTGTCACCATTGTTATTATATGATGTTATATCTGCAGCAACATCACCAAATGACTAGTTAATTTTCTTTGACAAACTAATGCTACCATTATAATTGTTGTTGTTATTTGCCGTCGAGTCGGACCCGACTCATAGCGACCCCTCCTTGGGTTTCCGAGGCAGTATCACTACGGAAGTAGGATTGCTTGCCCAACCTTCCTTCCGAGGAGTGGCTGGTGGGTTTGAACCGCCAGCCGTCTGGTTAGCAGGCAAGTGTCTTAGCCACTATGCTACCAGAGCTCCCACCATTATAATAGTTGAAGCTATTAATACTTTATATCACATTTTCCCCCTCTAAAGGTTTATACCTTGAAGTTTCAAGCAGATAAAACCAGCTAGTTACTGGATGTATATCTAATGGAAGGCATTGTTGAATGAACTAAAATGCCACCCTAGCAGCATTAAATACATGGTCAAGCAAGGAAGGCATATGCCTTTTGAACTTGAGCTTCCTTGAATCCAAGTAACTGTTATATAACCTAAAGGAATTGGCAGTAAAAATTTCCTTAACTCTGTGAATTTTAAAAATCTGTTGATGAACTTTTCCATTATAGAAATATCCTTTAAAGTTTCATCCAAGACAATGTGGAAAACATTGTATGCTATTTTTAGAGTGACTGGCTTGCTTCCTTAAAAGAATTGATGTTTGGATGAGAAATCTGCACAAGTTTTATCTTGTAATTTTTTTTTTATTGCAAAGTTCTATATCTGCTGTAAAAATGGAGTTAGTAGACATCACCAGAACACAGGATTAGCCAGATAGTTAAATACTTAATTATCAAAAGCTCTGCTTCCTTTTCAAATGCCTTTCCAATTTGTTTCATGAGTTATCTCTCTCACCCAGGCACATTGATGATGACAAGGGAAGGACCCATGAGCTGGAGCATTCGGCTATAAAGTGTATGCGAGGAATTCTCTACTGCTATATGCGCCAGGCTGATAAGGTAAAACACTCTAATATGGACTAGAATCCTCATATCTTTCAGAAGGATTAATTTAACCAGTAGCAATAGCATCTTCTGAAGAAGAATGTACTTTAGAAAGGTAAAACCACATCTTAGGGCAGTCTATAAAAGTTAAAACAGCCTGCCTTCCAAGCGCAGGGCTCTGAAATCCTGAAATTGAAGGGACACCTTAAGCCAGAGACACTTGAGAATTGTTATATGGACTTGAATTTTTTTTGTGTTTTGCACCTGGCATTTGCTTGATAAATATCCTGTTTCCTGGGAGCCACACAAAAATCCCTAACTCTAACCAATATTATACTATTTAGGAAAAATTTTTTCCATATTACTTTTGGACATGTGAAATATTTTGGCTGACATGAACTTTAGTTTAAAAATATGGTCATGCACTGCATCATACCCATCTGTGGTCCCATATGGTTTTAAAATAGTTAAGAAATCCCAGTTGGAAAATAGGACATAGTGAGTGCAGCAGCTTCCTGCATGTGACACCTGGTGTGTCTCCTGTTTCTTGTATACAAAGGAATTACACGCTTTCAGGTGTACATATATCATATATATATA